CTGGAGTGTGACAGGATTTGTTTGTGTACAAACTAATACACTATCAGAGTTTTATATATTTATACTTCTCATTCAACCACAGTTAAATTCACTCTATCTAGGAGGCTCAGTTTATATGGATAGTTTTTATTTTTTACAACAACAAGCTGCAATGAAAACAAGCAAAAATKAAATAAAAGTAGCAACTTTCTACTTCTTGTCTTTTTTAAAAATGTAAGGAGTAGAAGTAAAAMGTAGGCTGAAAATRAATTACTCAAGTAAAGTACAGATACCCAAAAATTCTACTTAAGTACAGTAACAWAGTATTTGTACTTAGTTACTTTACAACTCTGCCTCTTAGCTTGTTGTTTTAGCTTCCAGCCTGCAATYGAAGCTCTAATTATCCATTTGAAGGAAAAAAAAACTTGTGGAGATGTTAAATCTGGAAGCATCAAAAATCACCTGCTGCTGGAATATTAAAAAATCATTTAACCAGCTGAATATTTTACAGAAAATCTGCAGGAAAAAGAGCTAAAATTAGTTCCTGTTTGGTTTATTTAGCTTCTAAAAGGCGCAGATTTTGGAGTCATTGTATCATTTTACACAAGAAGGAGCCGAGCTGTTCCAACAAGCCAAAAACTTAGACAAAACTTTGAAATCTCTGTCCATTTTTACTGGCTCGAGTCTTTGCAAGAAGCTCCTCCTGAAGCCTGACCTGTTTCTGCTCTCAGTGCTGCCAGCTTTTCCACCTGTCAGTCAGAGAAGTAGTTCCTCTAAAGCTCCGCCCCCTCTCTTCTTCACCAGCTGACGGAGAAACCTCTCCGGAACTCCCAACCCACGTTCATCTCTTCCCTTTCTCCAGCAAACCACCGTCGAGGAGCAGAGTCGCATCGCGCAGCTGGAGGAGCAGCTCTCCCTCAAAAGAGCCGAGGTCCAGGACCTCCAGGCCCAGCTCGGACGGGTGGACGCCCCGGAGAGCGACGGCCCGCAGGAGAGCGGCGAGAAGTGCAGGAGCGCGTTAGCGGCGAGCCGGCAGGAGGTGGAGTCGCTGAGGGCGCTGGTGGAGAAACAGAACCTGGAGCTCGGCGAGGTGAAGCAGAAGGTTCAGCAGGCCACCAAGGAGAACGTGGAGATGATGGACTCCTGGAAGGTACCAACAAATCTGATCTCAGGATCTGTAAAAAAAACAGAGTGACAGTTAGCTGCGGCAGCCATCTTGAAATGGGTTCATATAAAAAGTTAATCGCTTATGGACGTGCATCAAATATCAGTGTCTCATGAGATATTTTGCTAATCTCCCTCTCCTTTCCTTACAAAATAAATACTTTATACAGTAAAAAATACACAAATAAAATGAAAGGCAGCAGAAAGAAGAAAAAGTCTTATATCTGCCCCTTTTTGAAAAAAAAAAAAGCAATAACAACAATAATAACTTACAAATGGCAAAAACAACATCAACTCCTTCTTTTCCGAACTCTACTCACTTTCCTCTGGTGTGCCCCAGGGCTCTGTCCTTGGAACCCTCCTATTTATCATCTACACCCTCCCTCTTGACTAAAAACAYAACATTCARTTTCATTGCTATGCAGATGACACCCAGCTCTACCTTTCCACTAGACTCGACTCATGTCTTCCCACCTGCCTCTTTAACTGCCTTCAGGAAATCAGGTGTCAAATCAAGTATCACATTAGAAAAGCTGGATGGAAACTGCAAAATTCTAAAATTTTTCTCAATTTCGCAAAAAAGTTTTTATGCTCGCTTGAGGTTGATTCACTCAAAGCCAGTTGATGGAAACACGTCTGATTTGCATTTCTTTTCTTGCAACATTTTAAAAGTTTGCTTAAAATTAAAATTGGATGGAAACACAGCTATTGACAACTTGCTAGTTTCTCCCTCTCCCCATGTTGAGTCTGGGTGTCGTCATTGACAGAAGCTCATCCTTCTGTCCTCATGTCTGTAATGTTAGTCAGCTTACTTCCACATGTAACATGTCGCCTGTGTCCATCCCGTACATGCAACAGTGCAACCGTTCGGTTTCACTCTGGTCACAGTTTACCAGATTACCAAACTCCTCCTAAAATGAAACTTAAAGAAATGTTCTTTTTACACAGGTTAAATTTGACACTTTAGTCAGTGACCACCAGCGATCCTTGGARGAACTGAAGGCATCRTTGAGTCGGGATCAGGATGCCCCACAAGGTCAGGAGCAGGATGCCCAGGAGCTGAGGACCACCCTGGAGGGCTTGAAGATGGAGCACCAGCTGGAGGTGGAGAACCTCAAGGCCAAACACCAGATCGAAGCCGCCATCCTCATCAAGGAGCGCGAGGACCTCTGCGCTCGCCTTCAGGAGGCCCGAGACCAGCTGGCCGAGGGGGGCCAGACCTGGAGGTCCGACATGGAAGCTCACAGCACCAAGGCGGCCCTGGCCGAGGCCTCGGAGAAGCTACAGAAGGCAGAGGCCCGGCTGGCGCAGATGGAGAAGCTCCACGTGGAGCAGGACCAAACCACGACGGAGCTGCGGGACAGGCTAGAGCTGTCGGAGAAGAAGATGACAGATTACCAGGCTCTGCAGAAGGCTCGGGCCGACAGCCAGGACCAGATCCAGAAGCTGGAGGAGAAGCTGAGGGTGACGGCGAACCAGCTGCAGGCCATCCAGGCCGACCGCTACACGTCTCACGATGCAAACGTACGCAGCGACGTCAAAACTCCTCTGAGCTTCACTGCAGAAACRAGACGTGTCACAACTTTGTTCTTTTTCAGATGATAGAAGACAACGAAATATCAGACGAGAAGCTGAAGCTCAAACAACATGTTGAAGGTATTTGGTTCCACGATGAATGAGGATGACTTTCTACAGAGATGAGATCTCTAAAGTAGGGATGCACGATATATCGGCCGATATTTATCATTTTTTAGAATATTGTATCGGTCTGATATACAAAACTGGGCCGATATTAACGTCCGATATTGATTTCCCACTTTTTATCTTTGTGTTTCTGTTTTGGGAGGGGAGATGTTTGGTTGAGCAGCATCTGTTTGATCATGATAGTGATCGTAATGGTTCGTAATAATCGTGATAGTTATCGGCCATAACAGCAATAATTATATCGGATATCAATATCGGCTGAAATTTTCATATCGGTGCATCCCTACTCTAAAGGCTTCGTTGTTTCCATAAAACTGTTTCTGCTCCTCAGTTTTTAGATAAATGAGAAATGAACGTAGAAACAGTCAAGTAAACTTCTAACAAGTTGAAGAACCGACAGGTTTATGTCTTAAATCCATGTTTGTTTTCTCCTAAGAAACGATGGAGAAGTTGTTGAAAAGAGAAAAAGAAGTTTCGACTCTCACTTCTCATGTGGATGCCCTCAAATCTCAGGTTGGAGGTAAATTATCTGCTGTATAAAAATGTCTTGAATTTTATGATCCCGTATGTTTACACACACACAAACACACACACACTCTGTGTACACAGACGTTCTGAGTTTAATGTTTGGTTGTAACCTTTCCTGAGACTGTTGCGTGTTTGTATCATCCTGAGTTCACTAACGGTTGTTCGTCTCTTCTTTGATTAGCACTAAAGACATCTTTTGAAAAAYCTGTCACATCAAAAGGAGCTAAAATATGTTGGACCCGCTCCGAAGAATGGATCATAAATAATTTACAAAGAAAAAAAGAACAATTTAAACTCCAAAGAAAAGACTTTTTTATTGTTTTAATAAAAGCATAGAGTTTAAATGTGACATTTCATGTTCAATAACTGAAAATATTCTAATTATAAAATAATGAAAGTGGAAATCAGGCATAATTTAAGTTTAAATTTGACTATATCAATGGAGGACTGAAACGTCTAATTATGTCACTGTCGGTCCTCCATAGATATGATGATCCCAAAAAAACATTGTAGAAGTAGAAACCTTTTCTAGCAAGTATTTATTATTTTCAGGTAAACTGTTTCAGACGGCGGGAAACGAGACGTGCAGAAGCATAAATCTAGATTATATAAAATGTTTCTCTTGCTTTAGTTCTGGAGGGGAAAGTTCGCTCCGGGGAAAAGAAAGCTGAAGCCCTCGCCAAGGAGAAGACGCGTGTGGAGGCGGAGCTGGAGTCCATGACCAAGAAGTCCCATGATGCATCGGGGCAGCTGGTCAGCATTAGCCAGGAGCTGCTGAAGAAAGAAAGGTAATGGCTTTATTGATTTCTGCAACACGCCTCGGCTCTCTGCGGATAACTGAAGTGAAAGATGAGATCCTTCCACATACAGACACCATGTGAGGAAGGACTTTCATCATCAGCTGGATAATGGACATTTACTTGGAAGCAACARACACTTTATTGATTTTATTGTATTTAATATAAGTCTGCAAACAGGTCCTGGGTCAGTTCCTTTGATTTAAACTGTATTTTCTCATGAAGGAAATGCTTTCTGTACGCAGTAAAAAACACTAAAATGCATTTGAAAAGAATTATTGGAAGAAATGAACTTTTAGTTTCCGGGAACAGAAAAGGATTGTTGTTGATTGTGTTTTTAATTCAGGAGTCTGAACGAACTRAGGGTGTTGCTCCTGGAATCCCATCGCCACTCGCGGGACGTGGACAAAGACCTGAACCGAGAGGTGCACAAGGCCGAGTGGAGGGTCAAGGAGCAGAAACTTCAGGACGACATCAAAACCCTGCGAGAAAAACTGCTTCTGCTGGTGAGAACAAAACAATGATGTCACTGCAGCTTTACTGACGGCAGCTTGGTTTTATGACTCAGTTCAGCTGGAAATGATCTGAATCTTTTTTACCTCAAACTCTGACTAGTTTGTCCTTTGAAACTGAGAAGACAGCTGTCTCTTGTTTCTAAACTTTGTTTTTTGACTTTTTTACTGTTATTTATACTTTATGGCTCCAAGATGCAACTATTAAACCATGATAATGAAATGGATGGATGGATGGATGATTTCATATGAATAATGGATGGATGGAAGTACAGATGGATGGATGGATGGATGGATGGATGATTTCATATGGATGATGGATGGATGGATGGATGGTTGGATGGATGGATGGATGGTTGGATGTACAGATGGATGTACAGATGGTTGGATGTACAGATGGATGTACAGATGGTTGGATGTACAGATGGATGGATGTATAGATGGTTGGATGTACAGATGGTTGGATGTACAGATGGATGGATGTATAGATGGTTGGATGTACAGTCGGACGTACAGATGGTTGGATGGACAGATGGATGGATGTACAGATGGTTGGATGTACAGTCGGACGTACAGATGGTTGGATGGACAGATGGATGGATGTACAGATGGTTGGATGTACAGTCGGACGTACAGATGGTTGGATGGACAGATGGATGGATGTACAGATGGTTGGATGTACAGTCGGACGTACAGATGGTTGGATGGACTGACTCTGGATGTTGTTCAGGGTCGGGAGCGGGCCTCACCGGACCACCGGCGGTTCTCCATGCTGGAACCGTCGGCTCTGGACTCAGAGGTGAGCCGCCTGCGGCAGCGGCTGCTCAGCACTGAGGATGCCCTGAGGAACGCCTTGGAGCACAACCAGGAAGTGGATCAGCTGGTCCAGGCCATGAGGAAACATCCTGACAAAAGCCAGGTGGAAATTYCAAAACACTTTTTCAATCTAATTATTGTAAAAAGAATTTGAAGTTGTGCAGTCAGACCCAGGTTAACTTCTGACCATGTATTTATAAATTAATTTAAAGTCTACAAGTTTTCATCCACATTAAACTTCTCTGTTTTTCAGCTTCACGGTGCAAATTCAGCAAATGGAATTCACCACCAGGGATCTGACAGCTCTCCAGATGTTGGTATTTTTTATATTATTGATTCATTGTTTTATTTTTGATACTTTTGGCTTTTATTAATCTGCTCTGTTTAGTTTTAGCCAATTCTGCTCCTTTTAGCTTTCAGCTACTGTAATAAATCTCTTAATGCATTCTTTTTTTTTAGCCACAACACTGATGTAAGCAGCAGAGACGAGGCKTGACGGCGTGAACACGACCCGGACTGATGCAGGAAACGGCTCGTCTGCTCCGTCTCCTGATGGACGACCCTGGATCGTTWCAGTTTACAGTTAAAACCAAAACAGCAAAATCAATTTTATGTGTCGTTGCAGAAGGCATCTATTAGCCAATCAAGAAGCTCCTTTAAAGTTCTATAAAAAATGGACATGAAGAGATATTATCAGTCAAAACAACCGCTGAGAAATAAAAGGACGRCAGCTTTTTATGCTTTATAGTAGTTCGAAGGTTTGAATCTACGAGTCGACGGGAACTTTGACAAATCTGAACTTTTATCTGGAAAGAAAAACTTCTGACGGACAAACGAAAAGCTGGCGGACTCAGTTGCTGTTTTTGGTTTTATTTATTACTTTGACTTGGCTCTTTTTGCTTTGTAATAATCCTCTGTACTGTAGATGAGCTGGACCGGCCCAACAAACCCAACAATGATTTAAATTWAAAAACCTAACTAATGCTCCTGTAYGTATTCAAACTCCAGCTGCAGCGCACAAAAACAAATACATTTATTTTCTCCACACAAAAAAATGACGTTTAAATGTGAAACACTAAGTTTAAYGTGTGGCTGTAAAAGAAAAAAGGTAGGGGGTGTTGTATTTTGTATCCACTAATAATTGCAGTCAGATTGTATGGCTTTTTTTTTTATTTGGAACATTGCCTCCGCAAACGTGCCGAATGTGCCCCAAACAATGTTTTCATGTGTCAAATTTGTAGACAGAAGTTCATCCAAAAAAATTAAACTAAACAAAAAAATAAAAAAGGGCAAAAATCAAGTGCTGTTAGGATAATCCCAACTAAAGGCCCTGTTCAGACCTTGCATCAAAAATCTGGTTAAAATCCGTACTTGTGATTGGCAGAGTTGGTGTGTGGGTGGAGTTTGCCCATGGTGTGGGCGGAGTTTGTCTTKGTGTGGAGGTTCTCTGCAGACTCAAAGTAGGCGTGTCTGAAGCATAAACACTGATTGGCTACTTGTATTTTTGGTTCTTCTCTTTTGTTTTTCTTTCACCTTTGACTTTATCTACCTTCACATTAATTTTAGCGCCAAAACTACTTTTGTTTTTTTCAATGAACCCACAATGTATCATTAAAACCAAACATTTAGTTCTCCCTATTTCAAAATGTCTCAGACAATTTAAAAAAACGCTACAGACTGATGCCGCTCTTATTTTGAAATGTAAACTGGAGCTTTTTAAGAGAAGTGGAAATAACAAATGAAGACTTAGGGTCCGACACTGTGTGTGTCTTCATATAAACATATTAGCAGCTAAACTGCTCGCTGTTATTATTTCCAAGTCTTCTAATTACCACTGTAACAACAGCAAGTTTGTAAAACGAAATGTAATGAAAATAAATATGAAAGTCAGATGCTAGGGTATAAGGGTAAGCTAAAGAAACCCCCAAGCAACGATCATCCAATCAGGTATGGTTGTCGGGTAACACCCCCTTTATGCTTGTCCAATCAGATTTTCCCCTGGAAAAAAAGGTCCAATCAGGCGTGTCTGTTCTGAACCACCTTCCTTTTGGAAACGCCTACTCATCCGCAGAGACTCCTCCTTGGGTGTGGGCGGAGTTTTCCCTACAGTCCGTGATTGGTCAGATTGATCTGTCTTGTGGGACAACTTAAAAGAGGAGGTAATGACAGTAAAGAAATATGATTTATTGACGGTATACGTACAGTTTAAAACAGAACAATGACTCACAATGATTGTGAACACGTAAACGTCATTTATTGACTTCAGATTTCATTCAGCTAGCACCTTCCTGTCTCAAATCATGACTAAAATTAATCTCTATTTATATAAAAATCATATCTTGGGCCAACTCCTCCCACAAAGTAAGAAACTCCTACTAACTGCAGGTGAAAGGTGTGTGAAAAAGAACCATGTGACTGCGCGTCGACTGTTGGGCTACACGGTTAATCCTTCATCGTGCACCTTGTGCCCCTCACACCTGTGTTCAGAGTTACCTGAAAGGACAGATTTAAGGACCAGGTCTGAACGGGGCCCAGATGTTAGCAGAATAAATGAGCAGGAGCAACTGTGGGATTTTGATTTAAAAAAAAACAAATTGAAGAAACACTAAATGCCTTTTATTCTTTCTGTGTGCTGTTGTGAAAWGTTTCTTTGTATTTAAACACAATGAAAGTGATGACTGCTTGTGCTTCTGGCTGATTACAAGCTGCTCCATGTATCGACAGACACTACAACTTGATGAAACAAGCCGTCTCACTACACCGTATCATCTGTGTTGATAAAAGATCTGTTCCAGGACGGACCAATCCTATTTTCAGGTGCTTGCTAATTCATTCTCCCCCAAAATCTTTGATTTTGATTGTTCACTTGTGCTAAAACGTGTTAAGATAAACCTGAGGAGCCTTCTGACTTCAGAATTGTGAACAGGCTGGATGTAGGTGGATTATTCCTGACTTTTATTTATTTATGTGTATCAGCACACTTCTTATATGATTGGTTCTTTTGTTGACACGCCTGTGTGTTTATTAAAGGTACTCATTGCAAAGTTATGAAGATGGGACAAATAAAAAAAGTAAGAAACAAAGTCTGTACAATATTCTTCTCATATGGATGTTCTTACATTAAAAGTGTGACTATTAGTGCATTTATTATTCAAAAAAAGCCAAAGTGACTTAAAAAAGGSAATGATGTTTTGTTTACACTGAGTGCAGACCCACATTTCAGAGTTGCAAACGGCATCATTTTAGGATAAGCTTTTTTTAATGATTGGTTTCATACTTTGCAGAAAGTATCTTTAATTAGCGACGCACGGAGGCCATGTTTAATGTATCACCTGCACCTGCAGTGCTTTACCGAGCCTTTCTTAAGTCTTCTGAAGGGCTGTCACCTGAGCTGAAAGCCAAACAACCGCCTCAGATTAACAACATGATGCTGTAAAGTCTTCCAGATCTCGATGTATGTGTTTGTCAGCTTCTGTTTGTTCGTGGCGTTTGGGCGTGTGGGGAGCTTCTCCAGGGCCGGTTATACAGTTCCCGTTTGGAGCCTTATTCTGCACGGCCTCCTCCGCTCGAGGAATTCCTACTGTTTGGATTATCGCTGCGGCGGTTTTGGAGATTGAGTCATTAAATATTAATGTGGCGAAGAGTTGACTGGTGTTTTTATTTTTATTTTATTTTATTTTTTTCTGGAGTTAAATCTCTGATGTCAAACGCATCGTCCAGTGATTTACACACAGTTTTAGTCCAAATAAACCCATTCTGAAGCTAGTAATAATCCTGTGGTGAAGCTAAAACCTCCAGTRTTAAATCAACACAACCTGACCTTCACGGCTGACCTTGGCAAATGTTGCAGCTCGTCCATGTGTCCCAGTTTTTATGCTGCAGGACAGATTGGTTTAACTGGTGACCTCTGGATAAGTAAATGATTATTTGCAAAAGTAAACAAAATGGAAAAAGCCTACATGAAAAAAATAAACAAAACTGAACCAGGATTACAAAAATTAAAGCAAAACGTTTCCTTCATGGAACACGTATCACCCATCATCCTTCATGACAGATACATACAAAAGATCACCTTGAAATTAAAAGGAATGAACTTTTATATATAAAGTTTTTTCTCAAACCTTGAAAATAATTGTTAAATGTCACAAGATGTGATGTTGGTGATTCTCAGCTACTACCACGCCAGATTTCAGCTCAACATCTGTAAAACCTGCTGAKTTATTACTAACTTTGTGTTTCCAAAGCTCGGTTGCCTGAGGCGACTGCCTTAAACTGGAGCAGCTCCAAAAGTTAATCAGTTGCACTTGTGCATCCATCGATTACTTTCTGTGAGTTTTATTAAAATCTGTGAAGTGGTTCTTGAGATATTTTGCTAACAGACAGACAATTGAAGACAACAGTTATAGCCCAAGTTAAATTAAATCWATATAAAATAATGTGTAGCATTTAAAATATTTGTTGGGGGATAATGTTTAGCTACTACCAAACTAAATTCTAGCTCAATATCTGTGAAATTGGCTGAGCTGCACCTATTTTTATGTTTGCYAGTGTTGACTGTCTGTGGCGGCCATTTTTAAATCGAGTTGATTCCAAAAGCCAATGAATTGTACGTCTACATCTAATTATTAATTATTGAAAGTTTTATTAAAATCCATGCTGTGGTTAACCAGATATTCTGCTAACAGACAGCGCTTGTGTGATCCATTTTCAGGGGAAGGGGATCACTCTCAGCTACCACCCCTAATTTTAGTTTAGCATCTATAAATTATGATAATTTCCCTTCATGAATAAATGTTAATCCAATGTTTATTACTTTGTTATAGCTTCATTAAAATTAAGTTTGTGGGATATTTTGCTAACACATCCATGACCTTCACCCTACATTGAATCAGACAGGAGCTATTTTAGGGATGACCACAAGATCCCTGCTGCTGCTATTTATCTGCTTTGGCCTGATCCTAATCCTAAAAATAATTTTTAGGATTATYAACTACCTTCATGATGTCCGGGGTTATTTTAAAGCACTTTTAACCTGCATCCTAGCATTAGGTAGTTATTTAAAGAGTCCTAAAATAATAATAAAACATGTTATTCTGCAGGGAATATATGCTCCGTTTGTAGTTTTGCTTCCTGAAGGTTTCGCCCTAATCCTGTATGTAAATCGCAGCCAATGGATGCTGCTGTTGAGCTGGGCTGGGATTAGCAGGAGACGAATGAGTTTCAATTTTACTGGATTACAGAACAAAGAAAGGGGGGGAAAGAGACACCCTGCTCTGTTAACAGGGGGCCAAAAAATAGAAATAAACTCAGAAAATAACGCACAAAATAACAGCTTAAAACTTGTGGTGGAGGATCTCGGCGTGAGAATGCGGATTACGACGTTTTAGCGGACCGTGCGGCTAGCATCGCGGATGGGGATTTGCGGGCGTTTTTTTTTTTTTTTTTTTTTTTTTTTTTGATGGATTAAAACGGGGGGAATAAACCGGGATTGACAGCGAGCAACAAGGCTATTTAATCGCTAATTAAAGGTGAGAATTCACTACAATATTTTCTATTCTCCAACACACACAACGTGCATTACGTTTGAGTGTTTGCTTTTGTGTGTCTGCGCCTTGAATTTCTACGGATTATAACCTTAATTTGTGTCCTGGAAATGGGGGGTGGAGATCAAAGGAAACTGCTAGCGCTAGCATGAGATGCTAACGAGTCAATGCTGGCTAGTTAGCTAGCTCAGCGTTGTTTTGCTGCCTTTAGCTAATTAGCTAGAACTCGTCACTTAATGTGGATTTCACAAAGGAACACTGTGTCTAAACAGTTCCCTTAGTTTAAAGAGACTCTATCCTTGCGATTAGCGTGTTAACCTGTTTTTTTTAAATAAAATAAAGCTCTGTCTGACTGGGAAATGATCGCTATCACTGGGAGGTTGCAGCTAGAACAACAAAGCCAGCTGGCTTCGAGCGTAAAAGCATTAAACGCGTGTGAATATTGAGTTTTTTGTCACAGTTTTAACACTGCAGTGAACTTCAGCCTGACCTCACTTTGTAATCGGCAGCTGTCATTTGTTGTGTCTTGTTCAAAAACTCAAATCTAATTAAAGTGTAATGACGCCGAGCTTTTACTTTGATAGCGTCACGCATTGACCATAAAGTCAGACAATAACACTTAAAGTTTTTTTTCCTTATTTCTGTGTATAGTTTCATATATTCATATAGTAAAACTTTGTTAGCTTCACGGGGAAAAATGGATCTAAATCCCTGCTACTTAAAAACCAGACATTATTATTATTTTTTTTATTTGTTGCACTTTATTTTGAAAGCGTCATTGTTTGTTTTAATGAAACTCAACAGAACCGCACAGTGCAGCTGGTTACTGCAGATCACAACCTGTTTAATTACTAATTACTTACTTAAAAACTCGTTGTTTTCAAAATTAATAATAACCATGAAACAAAATCCTCRTAATGTTTTTCTCATATTAGTGTAATGTGTCCTTAAATGAATGTTTGTTTGTTTGTTTACATGTTGAAACAGCTGAAGTGGATGAAAACAGGTCTTTGGCAAAGCTGGGATGTAGAAGTGACAGTTTTGATGTATTTGTACCTATTTGTTTACCTTCCCTGTGTTTTTTTTGTCAGCTTCAGCTGATTGCTTTGTTTACATTAAGTGTGTACCTGCATTTTAAAAATGCACATCAGTGTAYTTAGGAAACTACTGGAGTAAACTCTCTAACTGCAGCATATGATGTGGTTCAAGGTTATCTTTTTAAAATGTCATACTTTAAAACTAGAACTAACAATGTAAATATTATTATTTTTTTACTTTATATCGTGGGCATAGAAGTGAAACAGACGTTATTTCATTTGCATCCAAATGGTAGGTTAAAACTATTGTACTTTTTACCATTTTTTTACAGTCTACAATAATTAAAACCCCTTAATTATGTGGCCAAATCCATAATAAAAAATCTATAATTGTTTATTTGCAGTAATATTTAGTTGGTTGCACTTGCAGTTTTCTTTTATGCAATATTTCTGATTGAAGTTATAAGACTTAAAGGTTTTTTTTCTGCAAAAGGAATGTTTTTTTTTTGAATAATTAGATGCTTTTTTGGAAGCAATGCAGTTTCTTTAGTTTGTTATCGGTCCTGCTTGGATTTGCAGCCGTTCAAGATGAGGGATGACAAACAGCTCCAGCCTCAGACGGGGAACAAACATGGGGATTATAATGTTTGTTGTAATGAAAAGCTGCTGTCCAGACACACCCTGACCTGCTGCTAGTCCTGCTTTGGATTTCTGAAAAACTGAGTGTGTTTTATTTTAAAAWAACCTTTAAGAGTTTTGTGTTAAATGTAACTTTTTATTTATTTATTCTTGTAAGGAAACAGATTTAAATGATAGCTAAGTTTTAGCACAAACATTGCGAACAAGTTGTGTTTGTTTTCCAACAAACAGATGTTTTCTCTCATCCTCCAGCTGTGCTTGATTGACATCTGTAACACTTCTCTTTAGCTCGATCGTGCCCCTTTGGGCAGGAAATATGATAGACGTACCTCAGAGTGCACTTCCCGTCCTCTTTGGACCGGTTTTAAAGCAGCTCCACGTGGTTTTTATCTTCTGACAGACAGAACGTTCTGTTTATCCCAGCCCAAACGCCCGGTGCTGTGTGGAATATGAATGCAGTAAAACGCCTCTCCACGGGTTTTAACAACACAAAAACACATCCGCACTGCAAACAGTCACGTTATTTTCTCTTGCATGTGTTTCAGTTGTAATAAATGTGTAATAAAAATCCACCTCCGGTTCCCCAGTTTGTGCATTACACCATCATTTTAAATGAATGAAACCAGTTCATTGTTGGACGTTACGTGTTTAAGTTGTGTGAGCTCTGGTTACCAGGATAAAGGCCTAAACAGTTTGATAAAATGATAATATCTGCCTCTGGGTGTGTGTTTTTATTTATCAGCRCAGTTACAATACATGCTAATTATCCGAGGCAAGACATTGGGTATAAATACTCAAATWTTAAAGTTTACTGTCATTTAAATGCTTTATCTTGTCGTGCTTTAATGCAGGACATCAAAGCTGAGGCTCTGAGTTGCTTTTCTGCTTTAATAAGTCAGATAATTGTGTTTGACAGCTGCTGCAGCCTCGTCCCGGCCCTTCTCCTTTAAACAGGAACAATTCTGAGTACAGCTCTCGTTAATGAGCAGCTTCATTGGGTTACTGACCCCTCCGAGTCCCCCTGAAAGTGGATTTTCTAGATTCACTTAAAAGGTTACCTCCAAACGACACTCAGGCAGCTTGCCCGGGATTTTAACATGCAGGAAGAACTGGACACAATGCGTTAGAACCAGACCTCAGCTGAGGCTCGTTCTGTTTTTCAGCTCTGCTGCTTCTATTTTAAGGACAAATTTTTTCATAATACCACAGCAGGTTGCTCAGATTAGCAGATTATGCTCTTGGTATTGTCAGATCCTTCTTTTTTTGTGCCTCATGAATTATTTATTGAAGCAAATATAGCCTGAGTGCGACCGTCTGGGTGAAATTTTAAAAATAATCAAACATTTCCTGATTTTTTTTTTAAAACTTCATAACAAACTCTTGTTTCTTGTCTGCACTGTGATACTTTAGTTAATAG